GACAATATACAATTCTAGCTAAATACATACACGGGAAAATGCATGTCGCTTGCGACCTGCAAACCGGGGCAATTCTGATAGTGAATGTGATATTTCATATACCAAATACAGTATACTGCATAGTGCATTCCAATACCGCAATGAAATGATGCAATGTTATTTTCAAGGAGTTGTTATACTCCATAAAAGGCGTTAAAAAAGGTTAGCGAAATTATGGATCCCTTTAAAGTGATTTTGACTCTCTTTCCAATTTGATTTATACCAGTCTTGTGTAAAAACTAGTTGCAATGTAATGTGTATCTAATTCTTTTTAAAGTTGATATGTCTCTGCGTTAGTTGCGCTACCAAATATTCATTGAATTAGCCGTACATATTGTGCCAAGACCTAACAAATGGTTTTAATAATACGAGATAACAAGTTAGGAGTCTTTTTCTTAACATATTGCTCATTCCATACCAAAAATGCTGATGTAGTTCTCATTTACACATGCATATGTAATATTTCAATTAATAAGAGAGCGGGTCACGGAATAACATCGAACAGAGATGTGAAAAACGGAAAAATACCAAAATAATCCCAAAGACACGATTCTATGAGTTCTCGATGAACACAAGATATCGATAAATCAGTGATAGACTTATTTCAGGCAAACCAGCTCATTTTAAGCACTAGGGTTCGTAGCGGCATTATGACACAGGACAAAAATCCATACAAAAAAAAGAAAGAAAGAAAGAAAAAAAAGGAAAAAAGAAAAAGGAAAACAGTTCGAAAATGTATTTGCAAAGGATTATAACTCAAACAGATATTCTTTAAAAGGGATGTTTTTTTCAGCTCCTGAGCCTTGCCTAGCAATAGTGTCTTTGTCGTCTTCGAATGATTTGACTCCAAATCTTACTTTTATTTGCCTACATCGGTATTTTATGGAAAACGTTTCAATTTGAGGAGTTTTGAACGATTAAATATTGTAGGAAGCGTTTTTGATAAGATTATCCGCCATTTTGGATTTGCATCTTCATATTTTTCAAATTTCATTTTAACTAAGCATTGGATGAAATACGTAAAAGTGTGGGGAGAAAAGTACATTATTCTTTAAAAATACTTGTCTCACTTTCACAGGGGCATTTTCCGCTGCAATTACAGATGACTTCCAGCATACATTCTTACTAAATGCCGGTCAAACAAAATCACATAAGTCTCCACTAAAAGGACATAAATCCATTTTCCGCTGTTCACAATTTCTTAATCACAGGCCATTTCTTTTTTTGGAATTTCATAATGTATGAACATCTCTTCAGTTCAAGATATGCCTAATCGAAATTAAGAAGAAACACACTGCCCATAAGCGAAAGAAGAAAAAATCTTGAAAAATTAACAGTGGCTT